TGATGTCGTGTAAATAGTTATCTTTCAAAATAAGAGGGTGTCTGTGAGGAACCACAGTATGTAGAGGACTGACCTGAGCTGGCAAGAATACCACGACGGCTTTTGAAGAGAAACCTGAAAAACGCAATTTTTGAAGCACACAGAATCACGTATGGTTACCTACGTTTTCGCTTCTGCGTAATACTTTTATTTCCAATCTACAAAAATCCAATTTGTACAGCTGATGATGAGAACTTCCCTGAATCTACGAAATTACAACTTTTTCCTTTCAGAAGGAGAAAATACTGTAGTTGGTGACAGTAAGTGTAACCTATTTCTCTATTGAGGGAAGGCTCCGACCATACATTGAACATAAAAACATTCATATTGTTTAATTTTTGGACATGAACGTCGCTGATCATATGTAGTGAAAAATGTCAGCGTGGCGATGGTAAAAATAGACGCTAAGTAGTTTGATGTAGGATTTATCGCGTAAATGGATGTACTCTGCTGTGAAAATACCAGAAGCGTCATAGTGCTGTTGAAAATTATGAGGTCAGTATCTTTTCTCATTAATCTGGCACCTACTGATATGTCCTAACTTGAGACTAACTCTCAGGGTAAGCAAACATTCCGTCTTGGAAATAGCGAGGTAATAGCCACCGAACACTGGACCAATGAATGTGGCTTATAAGCTGCCGATGGACAAACGCCAAAGTCCCCAACAACCATTCAAAATTTCGCGAAATTGAATCTCCTCCAGATCTGTATAGATGGTCATTCCTGAAAAAGCTCCTCGGTGGCTGAGCTCAGGCTGAATTGACATTCAATTAGAATCTCGATTTTACGCCGTTGTCTCTGCTTCGCAATCATGCATCAGCTTCTTACTGCTTTGTGAAAGGGGGAGTCTTTGGTGGCACAATAATAAGATGAACGATCTGCTCACTACAAGTGGACGGTTGCAAGAAAACCCTTCCGTATAAACTACATCCGTGACTTCAAGTCAGTGGCTCAGTGGCTGAACCACGGTTTTACTTACCGAATGGAATGTGGTTCGAATCAGACCTCTGTCTCTGGACTACACCTGTTTAGGCTTTGGCAAACTGGTAGTATCAAAGCCCTCGTGCTTCATTCTGATGGCATGGCAGCTAGACACCGAAATATTGCTATATCTGGACGAGTATGTTTATTATCTTTACCACAAGCAAATTGCAATCATTTATTTACGCGAACTACACCTTCTCTGTAATTTTCTCGTGCAGGTGAAGAAACCATAAGCGGAGGAAGTAGGTTCTACAGTTTTTCATACGGTTTACACTAAAATCCACCAGCGTGATCCACTTTGGATCTTTTGCTATGGGAGCACCTTATGGGGCACTAACTGGTTAGTGGGCAGGACAAGTAGCATTCAGAGTGTTATCTGATGAGAAATTCAAACGGTTATATTTATGCAAATCACCTGGATTCATTTGCTAACCATAATTTGAGGATATGGTATACAGCGCATATAATCTGTCGTATTCATACGCAACATTTGTAGCTGAAATTAACTAAAATGTTCCAACACTGAATTCTTTATTCCGTAAGCATCAGATGGAGAAACATTCGATGATAAGGGGTGCAAACTTTATTCTTATAGAGTAGAGGATTCACAGTATGGTTGAATCTGAAGTACACAGACTCTGCTACCACGCGTGCAGGGTCATTCGTTTTCCAAAATGGCTGCTGCAACTTCCTAACCTGAGCCACATGATAACCGTCCATACTAAGCAAATAAAAGTCTAGCAATTATTCCTTATTCACATCCACATCACTCTCGCATGAACAGTCGTCCTCCTGTCCTGGCGCACCAACAAATTTGTCCAGTGGGTTTCAAGCATCTGTGGCGCTACCTGAATGGGAATTCATGACAAGTGGGCCAATCGATCGTCATAACCGGGACAGTTACTAAGTTGTCTTATCGATGATGAGTCGGGCATACCAATCACATCGCTCAAGCGTAAACTTTCGCCCGTTCAAACATGAGAATTCAGGTGCGCCCAACGTGCACCAGTGGAATAGTGGCAACACGGTCACCTCACGTGTCAAGTGTTCGGAGTTCAAACCCCGGCACCACCATTGGGTATGTACTGCTGATGAGCTCTAATAGGAACAAAACTAGAGTCCATGGCTCCATTCCTTGGTGTGGATTCTCCAGAATGATTGCGCAAGGACAGAAGGACGACTGCTCAAACGAGAGTGGCCTGAATATGAATAATACACATCCCGCAAGCCCCACAATAAATATTAATCAGAAAGTAAATTAGTCACAGAAAGTACTCGGAGTTTTATATTATAACGAATCACCAAGACATTTCCGTATCAGTAATTTAGAAAAATATGCAGAAATTTGCCAGGTACATCTTTCTGCATATTTTGTTGGTTTAATTACACGATGCATACTCATACCAAGAGAGCTCAGACTAACCTTGTTAGAAATTACAGTTTCCAGTTGCTCTAATCCAGTTCAATTTGTGTGGTATCTTCAATGAGCCATCCATTTTGCCTTTTTCGTTTCTAGGTAAAAGCACTAAGAAGGATATAAGCTGATATTTCTATGGTTTGGCCCAAAATCAACTAATATGAGGAGAAAAGGTTAACAGTTGTTGTAGATTAACAACAAAGTCAACGCAAGATGGTAATTTTGCGTTAGGACGTCCCTTTGTGCTGCATGAATATGATCACTTAGACAGTATACTCACTTTATCCCCCGGAACACTTGCTTGCCATAAGTCGGAAAGTAAATAGTAATATTTAATTAGATGCGTTTATCAGTATCCTCTGTACACTTCTTTGGTCAGCCGAAAAAAGTGTTGGCTCGGAAGGTAAGTTAGACAATAATTCATGCGACCTTCGGTGATATCTTCTTGATACGTCTGCTGTATAGCCCTTTCTTAGGAAACTAATCGGCATGTGGCTGTGCCGAATAACAGTCCTGATCTCAGCTGATTTTGTTCGCGATTGTGGCAGTAAATGAGGAAGCATTTTTCAACACTGTGGGTGACCCCAGTAGTGCACTTCCGTGTTAGCGATGAACTTATATATTTGAGCAGCCTACCGCAATGTGGTTTCAATGCAATTTATTCGCAGTTTATTTTATAAAATTCTACACTATCTATCATGCCGCCCTCGCTGCATTAGGCTGCACATTTACGAGAGTCTTATCAATATTGTTCATATTTAATTTTTAGTGCAAAATTTCAAGCGGGCTTGTCTGTTCTTTTTCTTTCTTTTCTATTGTCACGTGCATCGGGGTTGAATTTCTGACGTAAAATTAAAAATATACGATGAAGTGTAGTGCAGATATGCACCAATGACATTGGCAACAAAGCTGAACGTGTAGGGCGCTCAGACATAATGCGTTTCTTTTCAAATTGGCAGAGTATATGGTGTGGTCCACATAAACTCTTTGCCAGAATCACGCTTGTTTTTTAAATGTAGGGCGCTCAGACATAATGCGTATAAGGTGTGGTCCACACAACCTCTTTGCCAGAATCACGCTTGTTTTTTAAGAGTCGCGTCTTCACATGCTCCTTCAGGGCTATATCAAGATGTAATTCATACAATGGCAGCCAGTATCTTTCTCAAGCATTGGTACTCCAGTTAAACAAATACAAACTAAAAGGTTCACATCCATCGTTTGACATAGCCTATTGTGGTTCATCAGAAAATACCTGGGTAATGCTTGTGTATCATTAAAACCGCGGAGGTTTTACGGTTTATGGGCCTACTTGCATTGTGGCTCAGGAGTAAAAAGTAGCCATTTCGAAAAGTGCAAACATTACGACTCAAACCCATACATGAGTCCTAGAATAGACGGGAATTCAAAGAATACCGAGGTTTAAAGTTCGAACATGCAGCTCGAGAAAAGGTTAACTGAAGACGAGAACGCAAACAACTCATCTTCTTTCCGCCACATGCATAACATGCCAAATTCAGAAGTGCCTGTCTGAATCACACTTTAACTTACCCCGTGATTCATCCCAACTCTATCCAACGAAATGCCAGTAGACATCTCAACTCTATAAAAGCAACCTTCCTACGAAGCGCTTAACAAGTAAACCTTTTGTAGCATTTCCCAGGAAACACATTCAAAAATTAGTCCTCAACATAATACCTGAATGGCATCCGTCGCTACAAAATATTTATTCTTGTCAAATACCCAGCAGTGGCCCAGTTGCTTGAACAACGTCATCGGTTTGCAAACATTTTCTCGGCATTTTGACTAAAGTTTGTTAACAATGCACAAGAGAATCCGTCTGAGGAAATCCGTCTGCCTGAAAAACGTTCATGCAGATTTGCAGTTTGTCCAAAGCTTGCACATCCTATCTAAAAGATAGTGAGTTAAAATGAGTAACTGCCGCCGAAATTCTACCCACGAATGCAGAATGGACTTCTTGATCCCTACCAAGGCAATTTAACATTTGTAAGCGATTTTATGAACAGTTGTACACCATGAAAAGAAAAGAGAAAAATGTCTCATTGATGGATAGGTTCTGTAAAATAGAGTTACGTGATGGCACTAGATAGTGGTAAAAAATATATCCCATTCGCCAAATACTCAGAGTTTGAAACTGAAGACTGCCGAAGTTAGGCATAACCGATCAGCTCTGTTAGGTACAAGATTCTCTCAGTGGAATGATTATTAGCTGTCATGCAAGCAGCGCATCATCGCAAGAACAGGAAACTTTTATGGCACAGTGCACACAAGTTACATGCCCTCGGGTTGTAGCGTCACCTGAAGCCTGAGATTCACTCAAAAGTAGTACTTCAAAACAGAAACGCTCCAGTATATTGATCTACAGAGATTTAGGCGTAGCATGATTATGCCGAAATTTATTGACAGGCACCTCGTTATAACTATCGTCAAAAATTTTAGAAGAGATTCTTTGCCTAATTTCTGTTTGAAGTGCGTCGCCCGCACAAATAATATACCTGTAGATAATAGCATCAATAAACAACATTGCTTTTCTCCTGCACAGGTGAAGTGGAAGAGGACGGTAAGTTCAGACATGACGTTCATGCCAGAGAGATTCATAAGCAAAACACACTGGAACATTTTGTGCAGTATGTTTGCGGAAACACTGTCAACAAAGTACTAGCTCTCTTTTGAATCATAGGCCATGTGAGACCCTTCTATCTACTGTTTAAGATACTTTACTTCAAGAAAGGCACTGTGTCGATGAAGCAATAACCCGTAAATCGGAACCCGTCAAGTTCAGTGCAAATGGTCGGGAAGTGAACGGTCAGAGGAACGATGTCATGAATTCTCAAAGAACTGTATAATGTAGTAAATTATTTTCTCTGAAGTCAGTAGAATTTGGTTGGCAAAAGTTACAACATATTGTTAGATCATAATTTCGGCACTTATTTCGATCATTGTTGTTCACATAAACAAACTATTACCGTGTTTTTCATGCAGCCAAATAATGTTCGCAAATTACACCTAAAGCTAAGACGAGTTACGTGAAATATGGAATGTATCTTGGATTTTATATTTCTTGTGGTTAAGCGATGAAGGACAGTTGCTGAGAGGTCAGTTACTAGCAAACACGAACAAGGTGGTTGTAAGCCATTTGACACCAAAGGAATACTCTTATCCCCAGAGCCTCTTGTACCTTCTCAGAGTGTTAAACAGGCATAACCAAACACTACAAAGTAGCTCCTTAATTCTCGCAGTAAGCTTAACGTCCTGTAGGATACGCGGTCGGAACCCGGACATGGATGCCTCATCAGTAGCCTATACCGTTCCCAGAGTAGTTCATGATGAACTCTATTGATGTCTACCTTATTAATAGCTTTTCCTCGAAGAAATGATTTTGAAGGTGTTTATTTATGGTGGACTATGATACTACACTCATGCGCTAAGATGCGACGAGGTTTGAGGTACAGCAAGTGCAACTGGTTATAAGGTAGCTTATATTATGTTTGGAAATCAGGCCACATTATTTGCGGTCTAATCCGTGCTGTGTACACGGATCTACAGTTACCAGTGTCAAAATCTTTACATTCCAAATTGGAAGGGATTTATTTGGCTCAGTGCACACGGTAGAAAATTATGTATCATGACTAGTGCTATTTTACCCATTTTTCTCGGAGTTCAGTCACTCACAAGTTAGTTCGCACAGTTCCCCAAAATTTCACTTGCAGGGCGACTGATATGTTTTACTGGCTGGAGATTTTCGATGCGTTTGCTGGTATACATTTCGCCAAATGTTGAATTCACCGGGTGCTGCAGTATTGGCTACCCAGAGAAATACTCACAGTACCTCCAGTCAGTCCAGTTAAGACTACAGTCTAATGAGAAGCAAGAACATCAGCATCCTATTCATTACATTCATATCGCTTCACCGTTAGCTGCCAGAAAAATAATTGATCCGGGTGATAAAAGACATACTTGAACCCAGTTTATTCACAAGCTTATTGGACAGTGTTCGCCGTATTCGGTACACTGCATACTACCAAAATCGGCTTGTTTCTACACGCATGCAATACACACAGCTAAGAATTCAGATCTCAGATATTGCCGCACAAATAATCGGATGGTTCATGCAGACAGTACCCCTCTAGGCTAGATTCAGCACACGCGCTGGCTCAGTATGTTCTAATATGAGTTTAATAAAGTCATATGCCAATGGGATAAAGATCTCATTCAGAATATATAGGCGTGAGGAGAAAAAGCGTGATTTATATCAACCAGAATGTAACTCCTCGTTTTTAGGAAGAGACTTTCAAACAGATGACCGATCACTGATGTCCATTTTATGGCGGGATACCGACAGTTTCTAGACAGTTTCTATGAAAACGACATAGGTCAGCTAACCGTTCTGCTTGTTTCCACTAGCAGGCGTCAAGTGTATTTTTGAGCCGTGCCGATCCCAGACTTTTGCATTTTCTCAAATGCCGGAAACATTTTTCATATGTTGAAACATTTGTCCTTTCAAAAATGTGAACTGTTGATGAAGCTATTTTGTGCAATTATTATTGAGGTAAAATTTCGCGGCTTTGTTAGGACTTTCCGCGTACGCAGCCTATTTTGGAAATATATTACAGCAGACGGTCTTTATCTTTATAATTTCTTGCATTTTGAGTGGTGTAGAATTTGCTTTGTTGTGTCAGTTTTTCCTGAGTTGAAATTCAAAGTGCTGACAGCCATCGTTTGGGCGTTGTTTTCTACCAACCTCTGGTGGATTACATTCAGAAGCATTAATATCTTTTGCACACCCTATGCACGCCTTTTTTCGAATGGATCTAATACTCAAAATCAGTAGTCTCGATTTCACCCTGCAGAAAGCCGTGTTTGAATCATGCTTATTCTAATACTTGCAGCCGATATTCCTTGAATTACTCTGTTGTTGGTACAACTGATGCAGGTTAAACACAGTGGATTTGCTGGTGCGGCATTTAATAGAGTCATATAAAAATTTATGCTAATAATTTTGTTATTATACCGCTATCGATCTTCTATAGATCAGCAGAATTTAAATCAGCAGAATGCGATTCCTTTAAGAACACCATGTTTGGTTCTGTAAAATGATGAAACACGTAGTGACATTACACAGTAGAAATACAAGGATTCCCATGTACCACATAATTAGAGGTTAAAACTAAAGACTGCCGAATGTATGCATCACTGATCAACTGTGTTAGGCGCAAGATTGATCCAAGGGAACGATTATTCGCCGTGATGCGACCAAAGTATTATCACTGGAACAGCGAAAGTTTATTCCAGAATGCACACAACCTATTTGCTCTCGGTTTGTACCATTACATGAAGCCTCGGATTCATTCAAATGTAGTACTTCAAAACATGTATACCAACGCTCCAGGATACTGGCGTGGATGCTTTGATGTGTAGCATGGTTGTGCCAAATTCTATCTACAGTCTTCTCGTTAAAGCTATCGTGAAAGCATCCACGAAGATGTCCAATGTGTGGGAATTCTTTTATTATTTTTCGCCAAAATTCTATTGGAAGTGCGCCGTGTGAACAAATAGTATATCCGTAGGTGATGGCATCAGTGAACAACTTTGTTTTTATTTGCACAGCTGATGTGGAAGAGGACGGTAAGTTCAAACATGACGTTCATGCTAAAGAGATTCATAATCAAAACAGACTGGAATATTTTGTGCAGTATGTTTGCGGAAACACTGTCAACAAAGTACTAGCTCTCTTTTGAATCATAGGCCATGTGAGACCCTTCTATCTACTGTTTAAGATGCTTTACTTCAAGAAAGGCACTGTGTCGATGAAGCAATAACCCGTAAATCGGAACCCGTCAAGTTCAGTGCAAATGGTCGGGAAGTGAACGGTCAGAGGAACGATGTCATGAATTCTCAAAGAACTGTATAATGTAGTAAATTATTTTCTCTGAAGTCAGTAGAATTTGGCTGGCAAAAGTTACAACATATTGTTAGATCATAATTTCGGCACTTATTTCGATCATTGTTGTTCACATAAACAAACTATTACCGTGTTTTTCATGCAGCCAAATAATGTTCGCAAATTACACCTAAAGCTAAGACGAGTTACGTGAAATATGGAATGTATCTTGGATTTTATATTTCTTGTGGTTAAGCGATGAAGGACAGTTGCTGAGAGGTCAGTTACTAGCAAACACGAACAAGGTGGTTGTAAGCCATTTGACACCAAAGGAATACTCTTATCCCCAGAGCCTCTTGTACCTTCTCAGAGTGTTAAACAGGCATAACCAAACACTACAAAGTAGCTCCTTAATTCTCGCAGTAAGCTTAACGTCCTGTAGGATACGCGGTCGGAACCCGGACATGGATGCCTCATCAGTAGCCTATACCGTTCCCCTTGTGGTTTAGCGAAGAAGGCCAATTGCTTCAAAGTTAGCTATTAGCAAACACGAACCACTTTTTTGAGAAAGTGACTTATATTTCAGGCTAGTATTGTTATTATTTAACTGTCCAGTTTCGTTTTGGTGGCATTTCGTTTCACAGAAACTCAGTCCACTGGTGAGTTTGCAAGTTGGTTATAAGTTAATAAACAAATATTTATCATCAGCTCACAATAGCAATTTGAATTGATTTATACTCCACTTGTCAAACGCTTCTAAATCTTCCAAAATGGCACAAAGATCATGATGTCAAGTGATTTTAAATTCTTACTGTCTCGAGGATATGCTACTGATATTTCTAATCTTTATTGTACCATCAAGCACGTTTTAAAGTGAAAACATTGCAATGAAAGACGGTTTCAACGAGCAACTTGATCAACAATTTTACCTCATACATACAGTGTATTCCACCCGCGGTTTCCTTTTGAATATTCCGGTTATTAGGTTGCATGAAATATACTGCACGGGGATACCGATATCCACCATAGTGCGATCCCACGTCAGTATATTTTTTCACCGAATGACAGTTTTCCTAGTTCACAAGCTGCTAGCGATACTAAATGATTCACGAATCACGGACATAATAATAGAACTAACCTGAATACGAAGACACGCAACGTCTCAACAGCCTTCATGTGGTAAATATTTTGTATCGTGCTATCATGGTCGAGCATCCCATTTAAACCTTTTCAGGCTCCTAGAAATTTCATTCTGTGCGCATGCCTTGTTTTCTTCAAAAACGAGATCTGACACCCAGAATCTTAAGGAATAAAACTAAAGTTGGCGTCTGTAGTTTACCAGGAGTTTTATCAGAGCTGCTTTTGCTTTAATTAACACCTGTGTATTTGCGACCCGGTTTCACTGATCACTGTTCTTACTGCGCTGAATGGGAAAGTATTTGGCACCGTCATTCTACTTCAACATGTGTTGAAAAAGTTTGTTGCGAACAAGTTTGTTTGCAATATTTTTTTCAGTTTCCGCCCATCTATCCCAACGTTACTTTGCTTATCTCCACTGCTTTGTTTTGGAACGTTAAAGCCCCGGTTAACTGCAAGCTGATTATGGAAGTTATCGTAGGACGGCCTTACCTTGTCGTCTTGCAAAAAAGAAAACTCTTGAAAACAGTTCCATAACTTATAAATTTAGCTTTACTTGCCACACGTGATGATTTTG